TACATCTATTAAAAGATAGATTGGTTAGAGAGTTCTTATTATATTTTTCTAAATAGTTCCTTACAAAACTACTAATATAACAATGTTACTATGAGGACACATGTCATTTAAAACTTTTTTGCTAATATAATAGCATGAACCAGGTCAAAGTTGTTCAATTTGCATTTTTAATATTAGGAAATCTGAATATCATTCTAAGAATTAACTTTTATTTGTATCTTCTCATTTGTACTCAATCCTTTTATAAACTTTCCTGGTAAAGAGAAGAAAGCCTTATGGATTAGCATTTACTTTTTAAAAAACACTAAGCACTTTATCCATGTGTACTGCAAGTAGCTTTTTTATATCCCATTTCTTCTTTTGTCTTCCTATTTAGTACACATTTTTCTTTTAGTTGATCTCATCTACCTTGTCAATAATGTTTTTCATTGCCATAAAGTTTCCTTTGTAGCATTACTGGGATGAGAACTGTAGTCTTTTTATCTTTATGCTTAACATTTTAATTCATCTGGAATGAATTTCTTAGCATACGTAAAGTGGATCTAATTCCTTCTTTCATACTGATATCCGGCCAGTCTTTCCACCAGTTATTACATATTTCTTTCTTTCCAATTGGTTTATTAGTCTTAAACTTCCTACTCAGTACCATAGTATATTTAGAAAGGTTGCTTAATAGCATGTTTTAAGGATTTAAGATGTGAGATTCCCATTTTTTCCCTAAGTTAAAAAGACATACCTTTGCTTGCTTATTTATATTTATAAATTTATCACAATTCTGTCAAATTATATAAAGCATCAGCTGGAATGTTAAGCGAAGTGCAGTAAATCTACATTCTAATGTCATCTACTGCCATTCCCTTGGACACGATATCGTATACATTAATTCTGCAAAGTATTATTTTTTTTTCTCCCCAAAGCCCCAGTACATAGTTGTATATCCTAGTTGTAGGTCCTTCTAGTTCTTCTATGTGGGACGCCACCTCAGCATGGCTTTATGAGCAGTGAGTAGGTCCACGCACAGGATCCAAACCCATGAACCCCGGGCTGCCGAAGCAGAACGCTCGAACTTAACTGCTATGCCACCAGGCCGGCCCGTTGGTATTGTATAGATGGGGAAACGGAAGCCAGGAGTGGTTTTCCCAAGATTATAAAACTGGTAAGCAATGAAGTGAGGACTATAATTTTGGTTTGCAGACTCTCTATTTACTTCTTTTCTATTACAGTAGGTTGTAGTTCCTTCAACATGCTTCTACATAAGCATCTTTCTTAACTTATCCCTATATAGTTGTATAATTTTTTTTAATTGGCTCATATATATTAATACCCAAATGCTTTTTTTTCTGAGGAAGATCAGCCCTGAGCTAACATCTGTTGCCAATCCCCCTCTTTTTGCTGAGGAAGACTGGCCCTGGGCTAACATCCGTGCCCATCTTCCTCTACTTTATATGGGATGCCGCCACAGCATGGCTTGAGAAGCGGTGTGTCGGGTCACGCCCGGGATCTGAGCCTGTGAACCCTGGGCCACTGAAGCAGAGCAAGCAAATTTAACCGCTACGCCACCGGGCCAGCCCCAATACCCAAATGCTTTTTAAATTGCAGTTTGTCACTTCTGGAATCTGAAAATGAGATTAATTTTTAAAAATTTTATATCCAGCAACTTTCTAAATTAGTCTTTTATTGTAAGTTTATATACCATAGGTTTCACTAGTTACAAAGCCATGTTAATGGAAAATATTTGTGCTACTTTCTTTCCTTATCTTTCTCTTTTTGTGAATGTTCATTAAGGTTTTATTACAATGACAAACTTCTTCAACCATATATAAATAAAAATGGTGCCAAGATTGTTTAATTTCTGCTTCAGAAACGTGTCCTATGTGTTTTCCCAATAAGAATGATGTTAGTTCTTGGTTTTAAGCAATTACTTATCACACTATGAGAAACCAACAAAATCATCACAGAGATAATTAAATCATAGATGTATGATGAATTTTACTGAGATTAAGTTATCTTTAGTTAATACTTTGGATTTTTACTATTTTGTTCTGTTGATGTTGATTTAATGGTTATTATATTGAACACCAGCCTTATAATCCAAAGTCATAGGAAATAATAATTAATATTATTTTTAATTTTTATTTAATTTTTATTTATTTTTTTTTTTGTGAGGAAGATCAGCCCTGAGCTAACATCCATGCTAATCCTCCTCTTTTTGCTGAGGAAGACCAGCTCTGAGCTAACATCCATTGCCAATCCTCCTCCTTTTTTTCCCCAAAGCCCCAGTAGATAGTTGTATGTCATAGCTGCACATCCTTCTAGTTGCTGTACGTGGGATGCGGCCTCAGCATGGCTGGAGAAGCAGTGCGTCAGTGCGCGTTCGGATCCGAACCCGGGCAGCAGCGGAGTGTGAGCACTTAACCGCTAAGCCATGGGGCTGGCACAGGAAATAATTATTTTTATTTGTTGTGTATTTGTCAATATTTTATTTTGCATTTTGCATCTGTTCAGAATGAGACCCTTTTCAAAACGTTTGACTTCTAGTACTGAGGCCCTATTTGCCTCAAAATGCAAATATTAGCTCATCATCCTTCATAATATATAAATAGATATTATTCTTTGAACATCTGAAAAAGTTCACCAATAAGGGTAAAATTCCAACTTGTCAGAAAATTATACTAGGTTATAATATTCCTTAATTTTTTAAATGCTTTTTATTGATTCTAACCTTTCTCATTTCCAATTTGTTTTGCATTCAATCAAGAAAGCAATATAGGGGCCAGCCCGGTGGCGCAAGCAGTTAAGTGCACGCGCTCCGCTGAAGCGGCCCGAGGTTTGCTGGTTCGGATCCTGGGTGCGCACCAACGCACCGCTTGGCAAGCCATGCTGTGGCGGCATCCCATGTAAAAAAAGTGGAGGAAGATGGGCATGGAGGTTAGCCCCGGGCCAGTCTTTCTCAGCAAAAAAAGAGGAGGATTGGCAGATGTTAGCACAGGGCTGATCTTCCTCACACACACACACAAAGAAAGCAATATATTCATTTTGTTAGTTTTTAAAACAATCCTTATTTTGGACTGCTCTAACACCTTTTTCCTGTTTGGCTCTACCATCTTTTGCAACTTCTCACTGTTTCTTTTCTCTAATTTTTATGAATAAGAATATTCATGATACTGAAATTGAAATTTTTTTCAATACGTCCGGATTACCTTAACCTCCATTTTATTTATCATCTTAAATTTTTTTTTTCATTTTAATGACCATTTCTTAGGCCTATTTCAGGCATTTCAGTTGTTTTTATAGGTTAAATCTTAGGATCCACCCAATAATACCACTTTGCTATATGCAAAAAATATATATATAAATATTAATACAAATTAATACGAGACTTCTCTACTTTCAGTAAGCTGTAAATTACTTAAGTCTTTCTTGTTTCATTTTCCTGACATATAGAAGAGCACAAAAGACTATTCAGAGTATATTTTGGCCTAGTAACATCTGTATTTTTTAATGAGATGTTCAGATCAAAAGGTACATTAAAAAGCATTATTTTGTTAAAATTTAGCCAAATTCTGCTTCAATGAGATCCACAGCTCTAAACTATATTTTTAAGTAATCTTAATCTTCACATTTCTCTGATTCAATAAGCAGAGACACCAGCGTCTGTCCACTTTGCTTCACCAGCAACGCTGGACTGATTTTCCTGAGCACCTTTCCCTGTCCTACAGAACTTGCTCTCTTTTAACAGCGTTAGTGGAAAGAGCTTGAAATCATGAAAGCCTGGATTCTAGTCTTGGCTATTCCACATACCAGACTCTGAGTACATTATTATCTCCTCTTTGAAAATGTACTCAATAACATCTGCCTCACGGGGTTGTTGAGAAAAACTGTAATGAGTTATTTACACAGTAAATGCTCTATTCCAGAACAAAAATTGTCATTGAAGGGCTCTCTTCCTATAGGATTATCATTCTCTGTCTGAAGAATGGAAATAGTGGTCTAAAGGGAACCGACAACTCCACAGGCTTTCACCACTGCAGTACAACCAGTTTTATGACTTCTGGTGGTTCTGGGGAAAAAAATGTTTCCATTCTCTAGATTACAGCCAAGAGGCAGAAGCAATGAAGGCGGTTACCTCACTATGTGTGGGACACAACCAAAGGGACATGGTAAAGCCTCCTTTGATTCTCTCCTATCAGCTGTAGTGAGTGTTGCTGATTGAAGTGGTATAGCCAACAAGGTGGACTTGTTCACCCTCATGAGAAACCTTGGGAAATCCATCCCAGGTCAGAAATGCCTCCCTCACTTTCTCCTTAGGAATTTCAGAACAGCTGTTCTGAAGCATCTTTTCCTGGGGCAATTTAATTTTTCTTTCAGCCTGAGCTACCTGTTGGAAGTTCTTTTCTTTTAGGTGCCAAAGCAGGGCTCTGCAGAAATTTTCTGAAGTGTTAAACCAGAACTAATCTTATCCCCTAGATCTTCTTTGGAATGAGCTTCCCAAGAATGAGCTCTTCAACTACCAACTGAACTCTCCAACTCCGTAATGCAGAAGACTGTGGTGGCGTCACTGCCTCATTGGTTACAAGCATCAAGTAAGTGAATTAAGCTGCAAGATGTACTGTAAACGTCAGACCTTCACAAATAAAGGATCATGCAAAGCTAATCTTTTAACAGTTACAGACAAATGTATTTTATCATACTGGCACTTGCATTAGTTGCTATTGCTACCACCTTGTCTGTATGTTTATATTATACATGAAAGATCCACAAAATTTACTGTGTTTCACTATTCAGAGGTGGTAGCAACTGTAATAGCTACAAAGTAATTAAAATATTCCTTAGATATTGTTGTTATTGTAGACAATAAAATCTGAAGATCATTAGCAGATACAATATTACCTTCCTTTAAGCACAGCTCCTAATACGGAACCCTCACATATATACCCAATACTAAAATAAAGCTAACCCTGTTTAAGATGCTGAATCATGGAGCCCATTCTGAAACAAACAGAAGTCCAATAACCAATAAATCAGTTACTGATAGCAAAAAGCGTTACAAAGCGTCCAATGACTGAATGTCTCAAAGAGAATTAAAGACAACGTCTGCATAGCATTCATCATATAACCACTTCTAATAATTCATATTCTGATGTCAAAATGAAGGCCCAAAGTAGCCTTTCCAGTTTGCTCTTTTCTAATTTTGAAGGTGCTTTCCCGGGCTTTCTAGGTTTTTGCATTCCTCAGAGGATTCTAGCTTGGCAATTATTATATTTTTGGTTTCAGGAGCCTCTGGTTGCTTGTCATCACCATCAAAGATAATGTCGTCTGGATTTGGAGGTGGGGGGCAGAATTCTTCACTTGGAAAGATCTCCTGGAAAAGTGTCTGAGCTTGCCTGACTGCATGCTCATTTCCCAGTCCACAGTCAGGCCCAGAGCAGACATAAATGTTGGAAGGTAAGCCATTATAGGAGCTTCTGCTGATTCCTGAGGAATCTCTCATGTTAAAATACAGAGCCCACAAGAGTCTTGGCTTTGTAACTTCTTCCTTGTCTATTTCTGTTTCACCATATGGAATGAATAATTTCTTCACCACTGATTCTAAGTCCTCTCTTGCTGTTTTAGAAGATGAACAGGTCAGGTGTACCAGATAAGTGTCTTTCATGCATGTCATGGTTGAAGAACATAACTCAATGACCCGAACAGCACAAGTTCCTGGTTCTGCTGGAGGCACTATCAAAATGGAAATCTGTTGATCTGAATCTGTCTTTAGTATAGACTGATCTGTAATGAGCACTGCCCTGGAGATCTGCTTATAACGCACATTTGAGCACGTGTCCTCTGAAAGGTAACTGTCCTCCACAATAAAATATTTAGCATTTATTCTTTGGCCAAAGTGATCTATGATTGCTTTACATCTTCCAGATTCTTTGTCAACTACAAAGCATTGTACTTTATGGCGAAGACAATAGATTCCACCAAAAACTGCACACATCCTGCAGAAACACTGGGGAATTTCTCCTTGGCCATACAAGGGGAATAAGAAAGGGGTGTTTCCGAATCGTCCAAGACACTGAAGGAAGTTTTTTGTTGCTTTAAGGCCATCTATTGTAGTGCAAGATGACTCTGTCATTGCAATTGAGTGTAGTACAAAATGTTGGAGGCTGGGGGTTAATTTTTTAGTTTTTAAGTACTCTGAAAATGAGCATTGCATGAAAGCTTGGTATTCATCAGGGTGTTGTTCATAGTCTACACAAAATGTAAGAAATTTCATTAGCATCCTCTTTTCAACCATAGTGAGTGCTTTGCTATTAAAGACATCTGCTCTGGAACAAGGCACCTGTTCTACTTTTCCTTCTCGAAATGTAAGAATCCTAGTGACATTTTTAAATTCTGCATAACGACTAACATTTGATTTAATCAAAAGATCAATTAGCAATCCTTGAGAATATAGCAGCTTTGACACCAAATCAATATTAAATCTCCTGCCTTCTTTAACTATTTGAGAGTAAGTAATGCTATTTCTCTTTGGTTGATCAGTGTTGTCTTTCACTACAGGTTTGTTTTCATCTTTATCTCCATCTGAAACTGTGTGTATACAAGTTTTATCTCCACAATTACTTTCTTTCACTAGGGTTTCCTCTACATCAGTGATTTCTAGTGAAATCTTTCCAACATTTTTTGCAGTGTCTTTGGCAGGCATTTCATAGCTTGTAACATGGTGTGTTTCTTCAGCCAAGCATGCCGAATCCGGAGGTTTAGTGAGGGTACTGGACGCTTCCGAGGAAGGAGTTCTCTGTAGAGCATCAGTCTCTTCCATATTGTCATCCACATCCTGACTGGCATAACAAAACACTTCCGTGTGTTGAATGGTTTCATCCTTCCTGCAAAGAGTGATGGCTGCTTCTGTTTCACGGATCAGGTCCTGCCACACAGCAGCACTTTCTTCCTCAAAGTCACTGTTTTGCTGACACTCCTTCAACCAGGAGAGCAACCCTGAAAAGCTGAAACTAGCCCAGTTTCCTCCATAATAACTTCTCGAATCAAGATGCAGAACCCTCTGACCACTTCTTGAACATGCGGCTGCAAGGATAGATTCAGGCAAACCCGTCCCTATTATGACCACATCAAACTCTGTCGGGAGACTGTCCGCCATCCTGGGAGGTACAGCGCCTGGTGACAGCTACCAATGAAGGATATGTGTATGAGTCTCGGCTGAGGGCTCAGATGAGGTGTGAACAAGCTGTACTGAAAGCTCTCCTTGTGATTTTCCAGTTCATCCCAGAAGCATCGAGATTGCAGGTCCTAGCTGTTTAACTGTTACCCTTTGTTAATATTTTTTTCTTATAGGTCAGTAGCATAAAAACACGATAAAGTACATCTAATCACATCTGAGAACACTAAAACGGATGTGTGGTTTTCATTTCTGCATTTCATCTTAGCAGTAAATGTCAAAATGCAATACATATGCATTTGTGACTGGAACTCTTCTCTGAAAGAAGAAAATTCAAGAAAGGATACAATTGTAAACGATATTAGGAGAAAAGTAATTTCATGCAACAGCAATCACAATCCACTGAAGCCTGGCTTGTTAGCAGGACACAAGCGTCTACCAAAGCAAGTCATTCAGCGCTTTCTCACCTATTTCCTAATTTCTTGAAAATGAACAATAGAGATACACCCCTCCAAATCAGCCAATTCAATAATGAAGAATGGACATAACAATGTCCCACAAAAATAAGGAAGAATGAACATAATACAATTCTATAACTTTTGTTTTTAAGAAAACCAACATTTGAATAAAACTATACAGAGCTGTGAGCTTATCCTATATGTGTGGCTCCACAGTGTTTATGGAAACAGATTACATACTATGTGCACATTGTCATGATTAGGAATATTTCTGTGGCCACTACAGTCTGTGGGTGATTCCAGGACAGCTGATTTTTCCATGCCCCACCTACCCTTAGGATCTCGTGGTAGCAACCTGAGACCATTTCAACTGAATTTATTAGTCAGATCATTACAAAAGGATTAATTCTGTAAAACAACTGGCATTTAAAAATATTTAAGTGCATGAAAGAATAGGTCTACTGAAGGGAAAATAAATGTATTTATAACAAATCTTTACATGAATGTTCATAGGCACATGTATGTTTTTTAGGTGTAAGTTAAAAAGGAAAATTCCTGGGTTCATACGTTAAAATATCTTAATATAAATAATACCTACTTCTAACATTTGAATCACATGGCTTGCATTTTGTCGGACTCTGGCTCTATGTCCCTGAATCTCTGTCTCCCAAGATAAAAGTCTGTCTAAACATCGTCTGCCAAGATTAACGTGTTGTTTGTCGTTCCTGTTTATGAAGGGGTAGGAGGTGGTAGTGAAGAAAGTCTCTCCTGTTAACTTCAAGCCTAACACTGGTTATATTCCATGTGCAGAACATTGGTGTGGTGCTAGGTGCAGCCAGAGAGGGAAGGGCCCAGGGGGTGAAAGGCATACTCACCTGGAAGTCTTTAGGTTAACGCACTCCGCACACCACATGCTGGGGGGCCTTCCTATCACTCATCACTGCCCAGGAAGGGCGAGAGCACTCTGAGCTCTGATTTTCCCTACCATTAAACTTACTGAAATCTAGATCAGTATAAATCGGGCCCACCTAGGCTAAGATGACTAATCATCTTGGACATTTGTAAAACAAGCCATTCAATTGACTAGTTCACTGAACTGACTGGTCAGTTTAAGTGAAATGACAATCTTAACAGTCCTGTCTAGTCAGAGCCTCTGCCTCAAGAATATGAGGAATTCTACTTGTTCAGCATTCCCTGAGAAATCAAGAATTGAGCACAGAATGAAGGGGTTGCCTAGCCTACTCATACATGTATGTCAGTATGTTTGAACTGCTTATTCTGCCTTCTTACAGTAGGGATGCAGAAGACGGAACCCATGCGGGTACATGAAGAAGCGTAACCATAGTATGTGCTTATTCTTGGCTTAGAAGGGAATAGAGATGAGGGTGGGAGTAAGAGGAAAGGATACAAGCCGTAAGTGCTAAAACCAGGCACCTTCTAACCTACAGATATCAGAGTCCTCAAAATACATAGCAGGTAGGACAAGACAACTTGAAAGAACATTTAGCTCAACTACCCCATAATAGAGATAAGAAAACTGACGGCTGGAGAGATTAAGTGACTGAGAAAGTCCACACAATGGGTTAGCCACAGGATCAAGATTGGGACCCACCCTCGTGCCATCAGGCCAGTGGTCTTTCCATTTGATGGGGCAGCCTATCCAGAAGCCGCTGGAGCAAGCAGCCACTTTTGACATCTGTTTATTTCTTCCCCTTCAATACTCCATGGTTGGTTAGTTCTTGCTCTGGGATAACAAAGGGGAAAGCACCCTCCCTTTCTTCATCTCCAACTCTCACCTAGAAGCACAATCCTTGGAATTTACTCCAAGCAAAGAAATTCTTAACCTTTGCTAAGAATGTTTAAGCTCCATCATAACCCCCTATTGACTTGCCCCCAGGGCTTAAACAAGTCTCCTAATCGCTTACCCCAGAGCTTCCACCCCTAATTTCAAAAGCAGGGATAAAGTCATGGTTGACAGCACTAACTAAACGCCCAGAGAAGTAGAGCAGTCATCAGGCAAAATACCCTGCAGTGAACGTTTCTAGCAGTCTTAGAAAATCCCTCTGATGGGGACAGGATCCGAGCTGGGATGATGAAGGAGAGAAAAAGGATGGAAGAGACAGGAGACACAGCAGGGTGGGGTCGCAAAGGGAAGAGATGAGGAAGAGGGTGAACGCTGGCACTACTAAAGAACTCAATATACCCTTGTTTTCAAACTCCCAGGCACAGGGTTGGGACAGAAATAGAATTACCCAGCACAGAAAAAGCACTTCTTGGAAATAAGAACTTTCATGTCTGTGAACAACACCTAAGGCCCATGTTAGGAAGCATTACTGATGACACTTTAGGCTTAAGCTTGAATCACCCTCTTTAAAGCTTAGCCCTGCCTAAAAAATGGCCTGATAGGTATTTTAAATTAATATAAAGAGTGTAATCACAGAGCCATCTTACATTACCACCACATATACATACAGCCTCCTCCCCAGTTTCAAATCTTTGTACAAATGAAATTCTCAAATTAATGCTTATTGGAGAGGGGGAGGTAATACTAGAATGTTAGAATCATTGAGGCAATCCAATAAATAAAATCATGATTGCTAAGACATTTTTTTGTTTCCTTCAAAATATCAAAAAATGAACCATAATGAATATAATATTTCAGTTTGTCACAACATAGGAAGTTGGTAAGAACATTTTTGATAATGCTACAAAGATTTTGTTCTCAGAAGCCTGCCAAGATAAAACCAGTAATAAATTATCAACGGATTTCATGATTTTTTTAAAAAAAGAATTTTAAAACCTGAGAAATACACATTTCCATTTCAAATATTTGTATAAATGAAATTTCTGGAGCACACACAAAAAGATAATTTCTTCTCCAAGCTGAGAAAATCACATCTGCAATGATTCACTGGGTGGATGGATCATCCTTCAAAATGTCAAGTTTCTGTGAGACTTAAATTTCCCATAAGGATTAACAGTATTGTTTCAATAACTCTTAAATTAACAATCAAGTTCTAATTTAGTGAAATCTACTGGCTGCACAACTAATTATTTGTTCATCTGAGTTGTTATTCTCTGAGCCATTTGTAATCTCACCTTCGATTTTTGTGTGCTGGAACCCACAAGGTGGAAAATGTAGTAAAAATAGCTTATAGGGGACATGCCAATTTGCATTCTGAGAACGTGAATGAAAAGATCTCACTTCCTAGGAAGCATTCAAAGGTTTACAACTGCTAATGAACAACGTTTAAAAAAAAAAATTACACATTGCTACTCTGTTAGGTTTCTACCTCTCATTTTTAGGAAAGAAACTGTATGAATTAAATCTCTTCTCATCACCCTCTCCACCTTTCACGAGTTAATCACTTTGTCTTGAATCTCTTGACTCTAGAGTCCCTCGTTTCTTTCCTCCAAGTGTACAAGCCGTTGTTTCGTGCCCTGTTGGATCATATGAGGAGGTGAACAGAGAAATGGATGAGCGGGACAGAGTTATGGAGGACCTGGAGCTACAACGGGAGCTGGGGCTGCAGGCTGGAGGGGTTCAGGGTCGGCGGGGGGGCGGGGATGAGCGGCCCCAGGGATGGAGACGAGGGAGCGCGGGGCGGGAAGAGCTGCAGGAGGAGGAAGCAGCGGAGGGAGGCGAGGCTGGTGCAGGGGAGCTGGAGCGGTGAGGCCGGGCGGGGAGGAGCGGAGGGCGGCCGGGTGGCAGAGGACGCAGAGACGGGGGCGATGCAGCGAGTGGAAGTTTGCAGAGGACAGCAGGACGCTCTCTCCCCCCAGCCCAACTCACCGAAGAGGCTGCTGCTAAACCCGTCCCACGCGCAGCCCACGGCGTCCCAGACCCAGCCGTTCCTCAGGCAGGACACGAAGGGAAAGGCGACCCCGAAGAGGGACAGCAGCAGGTCGCTGAGGCTGATGTTGACCAGCAGGAGGTGGGTGGGCGTGCGGAGCCGCGGGAACTTGGCGTAGAGGACGAGCACCAGCAGGTTGTTGCCGACGCCCAGCAGCCCGAGGGCGCCGAGCAGCAGCGCCAGGCGCTCGTAGGCGCCCGGGCTGAAGAGCGGCGCGGGGCTCAGCGTCCCCGCCGGGCCCGGC